AGTCTCTCCACAACCTCTCCAACATTTATTATTTTGTGTTTTTTGGATTAATGCTAGCCTTGTTGGGGTGAGATGGTATCTCATTGTAATTTTGATTTGCGTTTCTCTAATGGCTAATGATCGTGAGCATTTCTTCATGTGTCTGTTAGCCGCCTGAATGTTTTCTTTGGCAAAGTGTCTGTTCATATCCTTTGCCCATTTTTTAATTGGGTTATTCAACACCAAAAATTTTTGAGTAATACTGTCTTAGCCTGGTTCCCCCTGTTAAAACAAATATTTTTAACCAATAATAGAAATTTATTGGAGTTTACAGGAGTACCTGAGAGATATTGCGGATTCGGTTCCAGACCACTGCAATAAAGTGAATATCCCAATAAAGCGAGTCACGTGAATTTTTTGGTTTCCACACTGCATATAACAGTTATGTTTACACTATACTGTAGTCTATTAAGTGTGCAATGAAATAGCATTATGTCTAAAAAAACAATGCACATACCTTAATTAAATACCTTATTGCTAAAAAATGCCAACCATCGTCTAAGCCTTCAGCAAATCATAATCTTTTTGCTGGTGGAGGGTCTTGCCTTGATGTTGATGGCTGCTGACTGATCAGGGTGGTGATTGCTGAAGCTTGGGGTGGCTATGGCAATTTCTTAAAATAAGATAACAGTAAAGTTTGCTGCATCGATTGACTCTTCCTTTCACAAAAGATTTCTCTGTAGCATGTGACACTGTTTGATAACATTTTATCCACAGAAGAACTTCTTTCAAAATTGGGGTCAGTCCTCTCAAACCCTGCTGCTGCTTTATCAGCTAAATTTATGTAATATTCTAAGTCCTTTGTTGTCATTTCAACAATGTTCATATCATCTTCACCAGAAGTAGATTCCATCTCAAGAAACCACTTTCTTTGCTCATCCATAAGAAGCAACTCCTCATCCATTAAAGTTTTATCATGAGATTGCAGCAATTCAGTCATATCTTCAGGCTCCACTTTTAATTCTAGTTCTCTTGCTGTTTCCACCACATCTGCAGTTACTTTCTCCACTGTAGTCTTGAACCCCTCAAAGTCATCCATGAGGGTTGGAATCAACTTCTTCCAAACTCCTATCAGTGCTGATATTTTGACCTCCTTCTAGGAATCATGAATGTTCGTAATGGCATCTAGAATGGTGAATCCTTTCCAGAAGATTTTCAGTTTACTTTACCCAGATCCATCAGAGGAAACACTATCTATGGCAGCTATCGCTTTACAAAATGTGTTTCTTAAACAATAAGACTTGAAAGTGAAAATTACTTCATGGGCTGCAGAATGGATGTTGTGCTAGCAAGCATGAAAACAACACTAATCTCCTTGTGCATCTTCATCAGAGCTCTTGGGTGACCAGGTGCATTGTCAATGAGCAGTAATATTGTGAAAGGACTCTCTTTTCTGAGCAGCAGATCTCAACCGTGGGCTTAAAATATTCAATAAACCATGTTGCAAAGAGATGTGCTGTCATCCAGGCTTTGTTGTTCCATTTATAGAGCACAGGCAGAGCAGATTTAGCATAATTTTTAAGGGCCCTAGGATTTTAGGAATGGTAAATGAGCATTGGCTTCAACTTAAAGTCACTAGCTGCATTAGCCCCTAACAAGAGAGCCCACCTCTCCTTTGAAGCTTTGAAGCCAGGCATTGACTTCTCCTCTGTAGCTATAAAAGTCCTAGATGGCATCTTCTTCCAATATAAGGCTGTTTCATCTACAATGAAAATCTGTTGTTTAGTGTAGCCACCTTCATCAGTTATCTTAGCTAGATTTCTGGATAACTTGCACAGCTTCTCCATCAGCCTTGCTGCTTCACCTTGCACTTTTATGTTATGGAGACAGCTTCTTTCCTTAAACCTCTTGAACCAACCTCCGCTAGCTTCTTTTCTTCTGCAGCTTCCTCACCTCTCTCAGCCTTCATAGAATTGAAGAGTTAGGACCTTGCTTTGGATTAGGGTTTGGCTTCAGGGAATGCTGTGGCTGGTTTGGTCTTCTATCCAGACCACTAAAACTTTCTCCGTATCAGCAGTAAGACTGTTTCACTTTCTTATCATTCATGTATTCACTGGAGTAGCACTTTTAATTCCCTTCAAGAACTTTTGCTTTGCACCCACAACTTGGCTAACTGGTGCAAGAGACCTAGTTTTCGGCCTATCTTGGCTTTCTACATGCCTTCCTCACTAAGCTTAATCATTTCTAGCTTTTGATTTAAAGTGAGAGACATGCAACTCTTCCTTTCACTTGAACACTTAGAGGCCAATATAAGGTTATTCACTGGCC